TTAGGATCTGAAAAGTTCACATCACAGGTAAACCACCAATCTGCTTCCCAAAATTTAACGTTGAAATTAGGTTTTTGATGGAATTTTGTTCTCTGAGCTGGATAGTTTTGTTGTGGAGCTTTCGTCGTTCTTCTGGACGATATCGTCAGCACAAACTTCAAGTAGAAGTGAAGTGTTCGGATTTCTCCACGTGTGGTTCACAGTTTGTCCTGTAGACCTGAAACTAGGTGCAACATTGATGATAATTTTGATAGTCACGTAGACTTTTAACTAATATGCACTTACTGTTCTTAATAAAAATTAGTACAACTTATCTCCGTACAAGCCATCAATGTCTAACTGTTTGACTGTGGGTAAGTAAAACAGAAATAAGTGCAATTTATTGGACACATGTCTTTGTGTTATTGTAGGATTCATTTACTACGTAAAAGCTAATCAAAATCGCCTACCCCGAAGCCAATCTAAAACAATGCAATGAGCAAAAAGAGCCAATGTTTATTGTGAGAAATTGCAGTATTTATATCATACATATATAGCCTTCCACCATCCATTCTCATCTCACCGTGTATTCTGCAATCCTAACTGTTTTCTCCTCTAGTCTTCAAGTGTTCGGTCTACTTCGTGCTTTGGTGTGCCGAGACTTCTCTGTCTGACGGTTTTTGAGCCCACATTCCTCCACACAGTAGTTATAAGTAATCTTGTGAGTAGCCTCCACCCCACTAGTGTAAACGTTTGTAGTCAGTAGACTACCATTGTTGTTATCCTGAGGTGGTATTGAGATTATCTTTCGTGACAACTCAATCGTACCATATTCGCTGATTGATCGTTCTTTGAGGCCATAACATACCAATCAAGTTGGTTAAATAGTATCCAGATTGAAAGCGACAAATCCAAAGTCTTATGACTCATTCGTACTGTCAGTTGTATTAAGATGTGTCAACAAGGCGTTTTCCACGGGCACCCAGCATCTTTAGAAATGCTGCCTACAAATAACTGGATGGGTTAGAAGACATCGGCCTTAAAAATAACACTAACCCCCTCCTTCGATTTATGTTGGCAAGACTCAACAGAGGTGGAGCTAATACAAACAAAAAGACTTTGAGATCGATCTCAAGTCGTTGTCCCTTAGGCTCTAGGATCACACTCTCATATCCTACCGGGAATCAATGTCGACCACCCACATACGTCTAATAGTATACACAAGATTGTTGAAATCAATTAACAACCATAAAAATCCTCATCATAAAATGTTTTCAGCACTGCGTTAAACTGCTGATTTTATCTTGATATTCTGTCATTATTGCTCTATGCAGTAAAATTTGACAAGATAATTTACCGAGTTGTATTTCAAAAGTAAGATTCGAAACCCAAAGCAGTCTATCAAACCGTGAGAAAATCTCAACGTTAAGGCCATGTAGTACAAAGTCATTAATTTTTTAGATAAGATCATGCGATCGTTTAGCACAAATAGGCTTGGATGGATGAAACGTTAAAATCTCACCAAATGTACTAAATGTGTGATAACTTTTGTGAATAAATTAGTTGCTGTAGTGCAGTAGTTTTTACTTTGAGAACTTTTCTGTTACTAAGCCATGAACTAACTGGTTATTTGACGCTCTTTGCAAGTATGTATCTATATGGTGTTAATCTATGGATATCATTACATGTTTCCTATTTCTGGTCCATACATTTTTAGTGCAACAGAAGTTTTATCCAAATAATATGGCACCTAATGGGTTTCCTCCTAATTCTGTTGCTCCACCATCCCAGCCGCCTTTTGACTATCCATCGGGTCAAACACAGTCATCAGCTGTGTCAGGACAACAACCACATTTCAATCCCAATGGACCTCCAAATATGGCCGTCCGGCCTCAAAGACCACCCGCTGCTCAGGTAAGAATTTTTTAACTAAATGTTACAGACCAGTACCGATAATGCACTATGTACGTAAACAATTGTAGAGAATTTCTAGTTCGTCCTCACTTAATTTCCAATACTGAACACCTCTCCGTATATGTTCAATTCAGAAGTAGGTTGGAAAAACTGTAAATCCTGGGATTCAGGATGCATAACACGTTAGAGTTTTTCAATGTACAAACCATCAAGTAGGTTAGGTGTTTCGGAGTAGACAGTAATCTTATATCACTTTCCATCAAGTTCGTCATTTCTGCCTACGCTGACGTCAGCCAGAATGAAAAGATGAATTTTACAGAAAGCTTTCCGAACTTTTTGATAAAGCTAAACACTCAGACATAGTACTTGTAGCAGGTAACTCTAATGCTCAATTAGGTAGTTTAAACCAAACATAAAGACATTTTTAAGTGGGTATTTCGGTATTCCAGTTCAACAAATAAGTAATGGTGACTGTTTGCTGCAATCATGCTCAGACAATCGTTTATTTCTAACAAGCGCTAATTTTAAGCATAAGGAGAGACATCTAACATGATGGGGGCTGCACCAAACCAAAGATGTACCGAATAGACCATATTGCCATCAGTCGTCGTTGGAGAGGATCGTTAGAAGACTGCCGCTCGTTTTGGAATACATATTTAGACTCTGATCATGCTCTAATAGAAGTACGCATCTACTTGCGCCTCACTGGACACAGAGAAGCCACATTAAGAAGACAAATTAGAGTTGAAGTTAGCGACGAAAAAGCCAAAAGTAAATTCCAGGAACTAAAGTCAAACTTCGGCGATTTTGAAAACGAGGCTGACCCAGATGTTGCTTGGAAAGTTATACAAACATATATGGAAACAGCAGCGACATCTATCAGTGTTATGAACCAAAGGGTCACAAATAACCAGTGAATTTTTGCTAAGTCTATTGCACTGATAAACCCTCGTGAATTTACCCCATCAGGCTCCGAACACGATGAGCGGAAACAAATCAGATCTAAATCAATCAAAAGACTACGAAACGATCGCAAGCAGTGGTGGACAACAAAAGCGGGAGATTGAAAAGGCAGCGGCTTTAGGTAACACAAGACAGCTTTTGAGACTAATAAAAGAAACCGGAATTAAGAATTTAAGTGTGAGACAATATCGGTAAAAGACGACACTCTTATCTGCTCTCCGTTCAAACGTTTAGAATGATGGGCGGCACACGTGAAGGAGCAGTTCAACTGCTCTATAACTACCCACCATTCCAAAACAGCCTGCGTTTCTCTCCCTCTAAATAAAAGTTATTGCTTCAGGACCGGCTTGCGTCTTCCCTTAAACCGTTGAATTGTAATTACTTTACACCTTCCTTCCTACGAACCAACTTTACCCCCCTGTATCGTATCTTTATATGCAGTATTTTATGATTAATATATTACTACCATTGAAGTAACTGCTTCTATGAATTTGGTGTTCACCTTGTTGTGCTAATGAGGGATGACAACTTGGACCGATACGTGCCTGGTCCTGCGTTGTAGCTGACTGACCACAAGTCTGTTTGGTAGACACTGGCAAAAAGCAGCCTTCTAAACACTGAGTGATAACACAAATGTTTGTGATATTGTTCTTCGCCTTTTAGATGCAAGAAGCTTGATTCATGACTGATCAATAGCTCTCACTACAGCACTAATCTTGGGAGTGTCATCACTCCTGGCGGGTTGGTGGCTATTGAAATCATAAGACAGATATAAGCTCTCTTGATTTTCACTAACTAAGGGGTGAGTACTCTTTTCAGCAGCTTGACCTGTTCACGGGATGAACTGTGTTGATGATAGAAAAGTCATAACCGACATAGGAACTGGAACAAATGTGCGTCAGTCAAAGTTGCTGCACATCGTTTCAGGACAGTTAGAGGATAAATTAACAGCATAAGCAAAAGAAAACCAGTTTTAACTCCAATGTAAATCTAAACATGAGAAATGGCGTCCGGGATCAGAGTGAAAGTTATGAATAACACAACTTAGGAGTGCTACCGTGATTGACTCAGCACTATATCATCTGATTACTATTATGAGTAAGTAGGTGTACTTTGACGAAGTTGTAATTCTTCACCGATCGAGGCGGTTAGGACACGCAATATATATACCTAGACACTCCCTACTTCAATGTCCGATAGTGGTCAGGATAGCAGGTTGAAGAAAAGCTAAGAGTAAGCAGGTCAAGACACGATACCAACCGACCAAGTCACTGGCTGTGAACTTCTTAGTTGGAGGCAGCGCAACAGTCGTACTCTGGTTAGATATGAATAGTATGGTCAAAAATTCGATGTCAGCAACACAGATGCATTCTTCCATCTCCCTTTAAATCTTAAGTTAAGTATCATTCGTCACACTCATCTTTTGATAATGTGTCCCCTTTGAACTGCGTAAGTGCTTTCCATCCTATTAATTCCCTCTCTTACTGTGCTAATGTGAGATGTGGTAAACATAGCCTACTTCGGTTGATTGCCGCTCAGTGTGATTTTCCGTTAAACAACTAATTAACGTATCATATTTGAATTTATTGTAAGAAGAATCACAAGTTTCTCCAGATAAACATGTACATATACACTTTTGAACTACGTATAAGTAAAACTAAAATTTTTTCCATCATGTTTAATGACCTTTATAATGTTAAACTACTTCACCTATAAATAGTACCAATAAGATAAACTTTTCGTAAACATCTACTTTAAATAGTCTATTGAGAATGCAATTATTATCTGATTTATATACAAATGCATAAAATCGCATGTTACATATTCTAGTTAATTTTACTTATTTTTTAAAATAATTTTAACAGATTACCCCTGCAATTGCTGCAGCGGCAGCTGCAAGTATGGGTCCCAACAGTTTACTAGCAGGACAAGGTGAACAAGAAAAAGTCACACTTATTATGCAAGTTCTTCAGCTATCAGATGAACAACTTGCTCTCTTACCAGAGGATCAACGACGCAGCATTATGATTTTAAAAGAACAACTTGGCAAAACAGGAGCAATTTAATCCCTTATAGTGTGTTATTTATTGATATTTACAGCATCCCAATAAATTTGTAATTTATTAAAAATAAAGCACTTTAAATTATGCAAGATAACTGTATTGATCAGGATCATCTGGATTTCGTTCAAGATAGCCAGTATCTATTAGACCTTCAATGCAACGCTTAATTAGTGGTATCGGTGGTTGGAAGCGGTTAGATGCTTGCTGTAAAATAGTTTCAATAAGCTGTGCATGCTTTATCTGTCTTCGAGCTTTTAAAATTCGCACAATAGCCGCTTGTATGAAGTAGCGCCGATCCTCGTTCACTTGACGATCAACCTGATCAGCTTCCGACTGCAAAGTAAACAATAAAACAAATTTAGATTTGCTTAGAAACAATGGCTTTAAGAAGCTCAGTGAACCTCACACTTTCTGATTTAATTAGTATTACAAACATATACTTAATTAAATGTATCTTATAACAAACTACGTAAAGGTTATCAAAACAAGGCATCAGATTGATTTGTTACTTATCTCGAAACTGCAGAGAAGCAAAATAATAAAATGAGTTGAACGTCTGGTTGACGGAGATGAAAGAAAGGAAACTAAATGCATCACTATTATCAGAACCAGTGTCTTAATTGACTAAAGTTAGTCATGTAAGCTGCTGGATGCCAGCTCAGTGATCAAAAACTTAAGCTCTTGCCGCGAGACCTGAAGATCCTGGGTTCAACTCTCAGCGGGGTTGTGAATGGCCATTGCTTACTAGTCCCATACTAGAACGAAACAAATTTCAAGTGGTTTCCTAGGTCTAGTCTGTGATGTAAACAGTATGGGAAGTGTTGATAAAATTAAGTCATCGTCTAATATTTTTCTAGACCTTGTGTGTAAAGGGAATACTAGTCTTAGCATCATGTAATTGTTACGAATAGACTTCACAAATATGGCGCTGTCTATTAATGAATATATAAAATCCTAAAGTATTTGTAAGTATCCGCTTGGACATTCTAGTATTCCCACAAGTCAAACCACTAATCTGTTTCCTGTTACGGTTACATGATCAAAAGTTAATCTTCGTTTGGTTCACTCGACATCATAAATATATTGTTCCAGGGATTTTGTAACAGAACTTAGTTTAATAAAAATACAATTTTCTTATCAATATGCAAGAAGTTTGGGCCACCCATCTTTTACTTCACCATTTTAATTGTAGTCAGGTTAATAATTATATAAATTTAGGTGGAAGCATATATATTCATAAAAGTAACTAACCTGGTTTGATTCTTTTCCTTGTGAGCCGAAATTCACCCTTAGCTTTAGACGTTTGCTTGTAAACGAACGGTTTAGAGCTATAACGCTATCCATCTACGCAAATATATAAATGGTTAGATGTATTATGCTATCAATAACTTACTGTCACGATGTTACCCAATGAATTACTACTTTGCCCTTCAGTTGCTTCAACATATATTATGTTCAATTCAATTAGTGGTGTCAAAAGTCGTTGAACAAGATCCAGTTCACATGAAGAATCCAACACATCTTGTGAACAAGTTTCCATTTTACTAGTAACTGAAGAGTCAGTGGTTGGAACACTTCGTTTAGATGTAGAGTTATTTTCACTACTTATAGTTGGTCGACCTTCAGATACTGCTAGTTGTAACCCGAAATGCAGATCTTTCACTTTGATACGATCTGAGTCCATATGATCAAAAAATAGTAGGATAGCAGCATTAATAGCAGGCGCTTGTATTTGATAAGTCTTATCAGTGAAAAGCACTTGGATTTCCACTGTTGAATAACTATGTGCCCATCTCATTTTTCTTCCTTGATGAGCGGCTGTATAGAATTCTTCAAAATGGTAAGTACATGTATACAATTCGAGTGGGAGTAAAAAATCAGTAACACCACTAAGTGAAATTGGCCACGAGCATTGCTGAAAAATGAAATGAAATAAAGGTCTACTAAGACTAATCTAGTATGGCAGAAGTTGAAGAATACTTTATTTGCTACATGTACTTACATGGCTCTAGACAATAGTCAAGCTGCTCAAATCGAAACTGATTGGACAAAATATAAATTTGGAATTATATCACATATACATAAGGTGGAAATATTGGTTCATTTCATACGAAAAAATAAACCTGATCATTAGAATGTGCTAAAACATGTTTACGCTAAATGGAACATCTCAGTCCTGTATATCAATCACAGTCCAAGTGATTTAATAAGTTCAGTCACTTTACAAGTAACTGACTATAAATAGTGTTCAGTCAGTTGTATACAATCACAAATTTGCTTTAATTTCTTTGTATTCTGCTGTTGGATTTATTATTAGTTACGAAATACTACATGAGTGATTGATTTCCGACGATGGTGAAAATTTTAATTGAAAATATGATATTATTAATTGAGATTTTATAAGTGAAACATTTATGTACACTTCATATCCAAAAACTGTAATATGATCAGAACAGAATAAAATTATTGCAATCGCTAGTTACTGAACAAACTCATACCTTCTCGTCCCCACCCCTGGATTCACCTTATCAACACAGATAATTCTCTTTCCCCAATCATCAAGATAAATAATCACAAAAAAGTTTACTCAGTACCGTTTTCGATACTATGTTGTGTTGCCACTTTGTATGTTACTCAACAAAACCTTGTTGGTCGAGGCTATTAAAAACGTGATACCAGGGAGTTGGATATAAATTTTCGTGGAAGATTTTGAATATTCTAAGAGATAAAACATTTCTTAATTGAAACAACTTGTAAGGCATTGAAGTTAATAACATTCAATGAATAACATTTTTTTACTAAGTAGTAAAATTACAAAGGTAGAGAGATAATTAGCTGGACATGATCATATACGATGATTGTATGAACTAGTTCCATTATGCAACCAGTTTCATGTGCTATTACCCCGAATAATTGAACTAATTGTCAGAAGCAAGTAGGTTAGATATTGTAAAAATCAGATTTGTTATTGAACAGAACATAATTGGATGAGCACATATCTGAGCATACTAGTCTAGATAATTGTATCATCATGTGTTCTTTCCTGTCTAGTACTCTCTGAACAATATAGTACACTCAACGCGACTGGTAGCAAGAATGACTTGGAAACAAAATGTATACTAGAAAAGTTTCGGAATTAAAAACAATCGATTTTATATGGGAATCACATAAGGTATTCAGTCAGTCAGTAACAACGTAGAACTTAGTACGTACGTACATCAGTTCGAGTTGCCATACCACATTAGCACAGAGATGCAGTGGTCGATTCAAATCCCGTAGTGGTAGAGGTAGCAAGAGTATAAGCAGTAATCGGGAAGATTAGGGTTTGGAGATGTTATTTAACGAGTATAATCCAGTGAAATAAATTTGGAAAGAGGAAAAAAAAAGGGGCATGAAGAATTCAGATAATTAGAATTTGGGAGAACATAGAGAGTGGATGCACCTGCGCCATTGCAAACGATTTTGAGCCATGTCATTCAGGGTCTCTAACCATCGGTTGCTATCATCTCGCGGTCCCCAACCAGGTAGTCTACACCTACCAACATGACTCAAACCACTTGTCAGTGACTTCATGGATTTGTGCCATGTTTTGGTCTGGCCGCCCCTAGCTTCCTTCCAACCTACTCCTATACCACTGAATATAGCACGTCGAGGTAGTCGGTGGTTGGGCATACGTAACACGTGTCCCAGCCATCTCAACTGATGAAGTTTCACTACTTCATCAATTGATTTGCCATCCTTACCTAGTACCCGTTTCCTAACAGCTGCGTTACTTAATCGGTGGTCCCAGGATATACGAGCAATACTTCGAAGACACCTATGATCAAATACTAGTAACCTACGAATATCCTCTACTCTTACCGGCCATGTTTCACTGCCATAAAGTAGGACGGAACGAACTGCTGCGCAGTAAACACGTCCTTTGGTTGGTAGACGGATATCTCGCCTACGCCATAAATGACGCAAGTTGGCAAAAGCTAGTCGAGCCTTCTGTATCCGTGCTGAGATTTCGTCACATACCAGACCACAAGGGCTGATGAGACTTCCAAGATAAGTGAAGCGGTCGACACACTCAACTACTTCACTCCCTATCACTAATTCGGGTGTCGATGTAACCCAATCCTGAAGCAACATTTTGCATTTCGAGGGGGAGAATCGCATCCTGAACATGCTTGCATTGTTGCTTAGAGTGGTCAGAAGACTCTGCATTTTGTCAGCGTCTTCACCAAATAAAACTATGTCATCTGCATATTCTAAGTCAACAAGTGAACCTCCCGAGAGAAGTTCAACCCCTGGAAATTTAGATGAGGAGAGTGTTATCTCTAAAAGTACGTCGACCACAAAGTTGAACAAGAATGGGGAGAGTGGACAGCCCTGACGAACACCACTTGAGGTAATCAATTCTGATGACAGTTCGCCATAAGCTCTCACTCTACCAGTTGTGTTCGAGTAGAGAGCCTGAATAAGGTTAATGTACTTCTTTGGTACTCCTTTCAGTGACAAACACTGCCATAGAACCTCACGATCAACAGAGTCGAATGCCGCCTTAAGATCGAGAAATACTACCATTGTGGGGCGTCTAAACGTGTGTCTGTGTTCTAGAACCTGACGTAGTGTGAATATCTGATCTATACAACCACGTCCAGGTCGAAAACCGGCCTGGTTTTCTCTAGTTTGCTCTTCATGAGCTTTGATTAGGCGTCGAAGTATTATTGAAGCTAATATTTTAGACACTATATTAGTCAAACTGATTCCTCTGTGATTGTCACAAGAGGACTTTTGTCCTTTCTTATAAACTGGCACAATCAGTGATTGAGACCAGTCAGATGGGATTACGTCCAGTTCCCAAATTCTACCTAAGACCTCGGTTAATCTCATTGCTAATACTGGACCACCATCCTTAAAAATCTCAGGAGTAAACCTGTCAGGGCCTGCTGCTCTCCCTCGTTTCAGATTTCCTATGGCTTTTTCAACTTCATAAAGAGACGGGGGACCTACATTAACTTGCCATTCAGGTTGACTGGAGATCGTGGGAAACCGAAGTGTGGCTGAAGGCCAGTTGAACTGACCTCTGAAGTGTTCTGCCCATCGATCCAATCTCCTGGATTGAGAATGAATTATATGTCCATCTTTCTCTGAGATTGTTTCGCTAACAGTCGGGTTCCTAATTCCGGTTTCCTTAACGAGTCTAAACAATTGTCTGCTATTACCTATTGCCGTTGCCTTTTCCATCTCTCTTGCTTTCGCTACCCACCACTGTTCGCGATCATTGCGTAGACTTCTTGTCAGTTTGCGCTTAAGCTGACTCCGCTCTTCACTATGTTCAGAGCCAGGTGGAATGAGTTTCCGAGCATCTATCAGTGCGATAGATGCTGCTGAGATCCAGTGTTGCTCCCTAACCTTCTGGTTTACCTTACTAACAGATATCACTGCTGTTTCCACAGCTTTTCGGATATCATTCCATGCTGCCTCGGGGTGGGCATCACATACATGGCTGCCTAACTGTTTTCCTAGTTGTTCCTGAAATATACTCTTAGCTTGACTATCATTAAGTAGGCCCCTAAGAGGTTTCCTTGCAGCGGTTTTCCTACGTCCAGTAAGACGCAAGCAAATACGCGCTCGTACTAGAGCATGATCTGAATCTAGGCATGTGCTCCAGAATGAGCGACAGTCTTCTATCGAGCCCCTCCATCGGTGGCTGATAGCGATGTGATCTATTTGGGTCCAACGTTGGGACGAATTAGGGGGTCGCCATGTTAAAAGATGTTTTTCCTTATACTTAAAGTTAGTATTTGCAAGGAACAGGCGGTTATCTGAGCATAGCTGCAACAGACGGTCGCCATTATCTGTTCTTTGAGCCACTATACTATAAGATCCACCCAGGTGTCTTTCTCTATCGCTTAGTTTACCTACTTGAGCATTAAAGTCACCGGCCACTATTACTACATCCGAGCGCTTAGCTTTTCGGAGAAGTTCCGAAAGCTTTCTGTAAAACTCATCTTTTACATCATCTGAGCTGCAGTCAGTGGGAGAATAGGCAGAGACGACGAAGAGGCAACGACGAGTGTCCCTATCTTTCCGGATTCTTACTGTTCCGTTCAGTCGGACAGCGCACAAACGACTGTCTACTGGGATCCACTCTAAGAGAGCTAGTTCTGCCCTAGGACTCAATGCTATACCTACGCCGGCGAGGCCACGGGAAGCAGAATCAGGGCTTCCAGATACACGAAGCGTAAATCGAGTCGGTTCTTTATTTTGGCATGGTGAGGTCAAATGAATGATGCTACTTGGATCCTGTATGCGCGTTTCGGAGACGCAACACACATCAATGGCGCGAGATTCTAAAGTCCTAGCTAAGGAAGCCTGCTGTCCTATTTGGCACAGTGTTCGGACGTTAAAAGCTCCTACGTGTAGTTTAGAGCGTGGTTTGAGGAGACCAGGAATAGAGTTCCACGTACTCGAATCGTTTGCCCTAGCGGTGCGAGGTGATAAAGAGACGTGAGGAGGGTTAGTCATGGAGATAAGAGAGGTATTAGAAGGTGTAGGAAGGATTTGAATGTGACCAACTTGGTCTCGCGTGCTGTTACGGGTATGAGGGCTGATGTCACTTCCCGGCTGCCCACACCGTGGAAGGGTATTTCTTGAGGAACCTGAAAAGGAAATTGGATTAGTGTTGGTCTTAACGACCTGGGAGCGTGACCGCAGAGCCCAAGGGACAACTGCTTGAGGCCGGTCGCGCACGGCCTTTTTGTAGAAGGTTTTTGACGTGTTAGCTCCGTTCTTCAGATGGCCTTACCACCGGAGACGGAAATCCGTGAGGTAAGGTGAGGTGTGACATTTCTAGGGTCGACCTTTTCTAACCCCACCCCTCCTTGTGGGAAGGCAGCATCGCTGTCATGCTGATTGTCCGAAGGAAACACCTTACTGCTGTCACACCTCTGTACAGTCAGCAGTACGACTTCGCCCTCAGACTTTGAGTTGCTGCTTTTAGTCTTACCGTTCACCAATCGACCTGCCTGGCATGGTAGAACCTACAGGAACATATGTTCCAGCCAATATAGCTCGGATGGGTCATCACGATAGGCAAGCCCGACCACCACGTCAAGGTAGCAGCTTCGGTCGGGATTTGTTCCGGAGCGTTGTTTGCATATGAGCTAGTCAGCGTTCAGATTATTCTAAGCATAAAGGTTGAATTGTTAAGAATTTATTCTTTTAACAAGGCATTGATTGGTTCATGATTTCAATGGAACTTTTAACAAAGTTCGTACATATTAGATGTTACAACAACGGAAAATTTGTTCAGTTTATCGGTTCTCTGATTATCTTCACTATTAACTCGAGACTTCGTATTTTCCGCTTTGTTAGTTCGAAACCCGCATATTTCTAAAACTTAGTCAGTTAAATTACTCTAATAATATATCTTTTTTTAAAAAAAAAGATATTGTATGGTATATTGTTTAAAATTAATCACAATTATTAACATAAAATTGAGTTTACTTACCGTTAAAACATGAAAATGATGACCAAAGGTAAAACGTATATCTTTTGATTGTAAGTACTCATTAAACTTCCGATTTAACTCAGGACTAAGTTGGACATCATTAAACATACGCTGAAATTTTGAAGTAAACTCATATCCACAAACAGTTTTTAGCTGATTAATCACAGATTCTTCAAGTTCAAGCATGGAAGAATAGTTGAACACAAGTCTTTTGCACAGCATACGTTGATAATACTAAGAAAAATGTAATCATATTCATGAACATAAGTTATTAATATTATGGAAAATTAATTTGAATCTCTTTATTCACAGTATAAATTAGTAATTCAGCAATTCTAGAGAACACTACAATTTCGTGGATTATCAACAACTATGATAAATAAAAATTAAGTTTCTCTAAAAAACGCGTTACAGTTGACGTTACTACACTTAACAGCACAACACAAAAAGATGAAGAAAGTGATATGGATGACGATAATGATAATAACAACTAAACATGAGAAACATTTTACAATCTTCACAAATTCTCCATGCTAACAGTAAACATGTGCTTACTAGTGATTAGCTTCAAGATTTAAATGCCGGAGATCTAGTGTCAAGCCGTGACCAACAGAGTTCAAAACGTGTTGAGTGTGAGACAGTTATTCACCACGAACAATGGATGAAGGCTATATAATATCGCGAATAGGTTAAAGTCAGACGTTGAAACCGTTGGATAGCGGTTCAGTGGGCTAGAGTTCAGACGTTTGTGCGCGAGATGAACATCGTGGGTTTGATTTCCGGATGCGGGGTCATGGATGCACACTGCTGAGCAGTCCCGTGTCAGGATGAAACAACCGTAAAGTGTTTCTAGGTTTTTAATCATGATCTAGATAAGACTAGTTCGTGATTTTAAACTGAGAATTCTAAAGTCTTCACGTGTCCCCTTATACTTATAATAAGAAATATAATTCATAACCAGCAGATTAACATGGATATTAGAGATACGTAGTGATACTATCCTCAAGATTTAGAGAAAAACAATAAATGCGTACATTTGCCTCAATACCATTAACTCAAAGTCATGATATATGGGTCCTTAGTAGTAGATGACAATTATTCTGTTCAACTAAACTAGGGAATTCGAAGTTCTAGAAATGACATACACTAATACTCAGTGACTTCATGTGGTAAAGCTATTTCCTGTTTTTGAATATTGCTATTCTTCCTCCAATCAACTCTTGTTCGTTACTGGGACCTTATATTACTGCCTTTCTGAACGCTTCCTAAAATACTCCTAGACGTCAACTCGAATAATGGAGAAAAGGCGTGAAATTTGAGTAGGAGGTTAGTTTGTGCGCAGAAAATCGAAGGTATTTATAAATTTGTATATGAAATCATGCTTCCAGAACCTCCTGCAAGCACACTAAATTTGGTAACAGAATAGGTAATTACCGAACCAAAACATAACCCTTAATCTTTCAGAGGCTTTTATTTAATGCTGACTGGATAAAAATTTTCTGGGCTACTTCTAGAAGTTTTGACGAAGGATATTTTTATGTGTATATCTGTGTTATGGGAATGTAACTCGGAACGCTCAAACAAATCTTGCCCTAGCTTAGTTCTTTTTGTTCGATTTTAGTAAGGATGTTTCATAGGATAGTCTAGTTTTAGCGTACATCTGTAAGATAAGAGGAAAATACATTAGATTGTAAGATGTGATATAAAATGAAACTAAAATCAAGAATAAATATTCATCACTACGTACTACAAATTCACAGAAGGTATAAATCGGAGATAATGATGTTGTAAATTTTTATATGGATGATAATTATAGATGAGAAAATCGACAGATAAAATGTTTGAAACAAGTTTTGACCCGTAATTTCTGAGTTTTAATAGCCTGTGAGTAAAACCTACTTAAGTAGTTTAAAATATTAAGGAGAATAGACTACTCACCTTTTGGAAAAGATCTTTATCATCAATATACTTGAAAATAGCAATTGACGCTGTCAGCTTAGTTTCAATTTCTGAAACAGTCATAGTTTTGACGGATTTACGTAATAAGGAATCCATGTATCGACATAACAATTCAGATGGTCTGTAATTAGTTTGTCTACAAATGTATACAATAATTGATAAAAATTCTAAACCATTTGAAGCAAGTAGTAATTAAAATTTATAAGATAAATACTATATGACTGTAAGATATATTGTACCTTTTGAGAATACATTGATTCATGTAACCTTAATAAAAGAATCCAATATTTATGAACTACATACCAAGCAACAGTCAATCTACTTTTTAAGAAATATACATAATCTTTATCGACTACACACTTTTAAAACGATTGGAATATATGGTGTATTTTGTTTAGTCAGTATGATTTATGACATTTTCGATCGTTTTTTTAGCTATAGTAACACTCAATTCATTTTCTATGTGTTTAGATTTCTCTATTGATGTTTAGTACTACAATTGATCAGTCTCATATTGGTATTAGTGCATCGTGTGCAGATTGTCTCGATATTGCCTTAAGTGGTAAGCATCATAGGCTACAATCAATCACTGTTTAGTGACATTTGTTATAGAATAATTCAGCTTTAATGGTAGAAAAAACATTTCCCATTCTTCTCATCGTTTCTCTATATATTATTGAATAATAACTGATATTATGAAGTCTGGGTCCGTGATTACTGTTTAGCAGATGTTAGCGGGATACAGATTAGATTAAAGCATGTTCCGTGTAGGAAAGTGTAGTCGCACGCTGATTGGTTATTTATTAATCAGCCAGAGCTAACGGAAACTAGAATCTTATCTAAAAACTATAATTATACTAAAGTTTTTCTTATCATGATCCCTACTTCCATTCAACCTTGTTATTTGAAATATAATTACATTCCTGTTTAGCCGTGTTCTGATTTGAAGACTTGTCGAGTGAAGTAGTGTCCAAGATAACTAAGCAATAAGAGTAGCTGGGCCGTAATAAGAGAATTCATAACAACAGATCAGAGCATTTAAGTTCGATATCATTTTTGTGGACTAGTATGTAGTAATTTTTACACTACAAGTTATTAATGGATCTTTAAGACATTAGATCTACTTTGTTAGGGATGAATTATTTAAAATATAATTTGTTAATGACCTATTGAAAATAACATTTTAAGAACTAACATTAGAAGACATTATCTGTACTATGGGAAGTAAATAGTAGAAATCAAAACAAAGAAGACGATTTTCACAATTGTCGACCATTTATATTAACAAACACATTTTATTAGGCTAGGCTTATGTATTTATGATTATTGTAAAAAATTATGGATAATTTCAGTTTTTTAAATTGCAATGTCACCCAAAGAGTAATACAGTTTTACATTACATTAGTCATCAATCAATCTTAATCAGATCAGAATTGAATAGTTGAATAAAATTAATAGGAACTAGTTTAGTTTTTTAAATGACCAATCTGTAATTTTGTATTAAACATTAAATATTGAAATCACGGACCGACTGAAGTTAAATAGCCATTGAAAGCATGGGGGCATTGAACGACCGTTTCACCTTAATATGGGACTCTTTAGCAGTTAGCATTTACGACCCCACAACTTTCACTAGGATGAGACAGATGTTCAGTACTTTCCGCGGTCTTTAACGGCTTTACAGTTTGGATCGGCTCGTGATTTAAATGTACATTCAACAACATCCACAATCTCATACTGACAATATTAAGTATGATTAACGTCCCAATATGAATTGCTGAGAACGCAATACATAAAGCATTAGAACACTTTCCATTAAGATTCGATTTCAATTAGATGGGATGATCAAATACAGACCTGTCATGAAACATAGTTGGATGAATTCGGCAAAATTAACCTAAAGGTTTATTCACGTGTTTGTTTGTCGTATAATGAAGCTAATGTCAACAATGAGTTTGTGGTGGTCGGTATTCAATATAATCCTTAAACTTCGTACACAGTTCGTTCTGATAACCGTTTATTGGTAGCGTCCCATCGGCGTATTAATCAGAAGGCGAATACGAAGTGTTGATTACGTTTATTATTGCACAACGCATAAGTAATCAAAATTACAGGTACGTTAACCAAGCATGAAAGAGTAGTGCCGAAAAGCAAGCTGGCAACCAAGTGAGTGTGCGAGTCAATGAACAGGACTAAAATGTACATATGTATACATAATGAAATGAATTAATCATCGAATCAATTAAGCGACTAACAGTAATGCTAGCAGAAGGAATATATACGTAGGCAGTAAGCAATGCTGAAGCATACATATTAATACAAGCGCAACAATACTAAAGGCACAATGGTATAGATAAGTTGTTATTGTGCGGATGACTCTGTCCGTTAAATCAGTTAACAAAAGGGCTTAACCGAATTAAATATGAACAAACTCAATTGCACGTGAGCTGCTACAGGTTTAATATACCACTCACTTTTTTAAAAAATGTCTAAATATCCTAAGATTTTGATAAAATAGATTTTTTGATTACATGGTATTGGTGATAAATTACATATTTACCGACAGTGGTTTTTGGAAAAGGCACTTGAATTTTTTAAAGAAAAAAAAAACGTTGATAAGCTATTTCTATATGATAGCGTATAAATACTCACTTAGATGTTGTGGCTAGAATACTTGAAGACGGTACACGGCCATTCACAGCCAAATTAAAGGCTTTATCCATTTGATTACGGAAAGCAGTTTTCCCATCAAAAACATCATCAATATACTCCAAAAATCTACTTCGAAGATTTAAGAGACTCTCAATAAAATGAACCTGTGTTAGCTTTGTTTCGAAGCAAAATATAAAACTGTCAATACCAAGTTTAAAAGAAACTGACAACATAAAACTAATTAAATTGGCAGTCAGTCGAAGGCCAGTGATGGGACGAAAACAAATGAGATTTTTTCAAGGGGAAAGTCTTACGAACAAACTTCATGAGAAGTGTTGCGTAGGCGAAAGTGGAGAGTGACTGATTATTGTTTTCAAACCGACTGACTCTTAGATAATCAGATAGGTATCTGAAGTAGTATGCATATTTTCCTACCTTTTATGTTTACTTAGTGATTGATTGATATACGTAGTCAGGTGAACGACGTGTTCTTAGTGTGTGGTCGATTAGTCCCTAACTGGATACCTAGTGTAAAAAGTCAATAGTATACACAATAAAACCGTTTATTGTTCGTCCTTTACAAACTAGCACTCCATTAGTGTTCAGGAGGAATCGAACTTTAGTTCGACTCAGTTCACTCACGTGTCCTCCATGACGGGCCTTTGCTCGTTTGATTCGAGCTGTACTTGACACAAAATGTTGGGGATTTGAACGCTATTTTAGTGTAAGGGCTAAAAAGGGATTAAAGTATTGTCAGTATGTGGAAAGTAATCAGCATAATTTTTGTGTAAGGAGTGAAGGATTCCATAGACGCTCTACGTCAAGAGATCAATAAGGTGGCTTTTATAAGAATGGATAATGTACCAATCAATTTGAGATATAAAGAACTATTATTGAGCAAGTAATGGAATGGAACTCATCACTATATAACAAATTTTTCTATGATGGAGAAGTATTTAGCAGCATGAATAGGAAAAACTTATAAAATTTCCGACAATATGAAGTACTTCAAAATATAATTCATCTTTATACGTAGCTCCTACAAGGAACTGAATTGCGTGTATCAAAAGCTGCACTTCAAGTGAAGAGTCATGTCAGACAAGGCTCCTTAATCGTGCATTTTCCCTTTCTGCTAGCTATTGAATGGATTATGAAGACTAGTATATCTTAGAAAAAGCATCGAATACAGTAAACACCGTGGAAGCTCTGAAAGAGGTAGAAGCCTTTACATACCTGAGAAGGTCCTGATGTGCATATGAAGGCACGAATGGGGGAAACAAAGACGACATTATTACAATCAGGTAAAATCTAGAATTTAAAAGGACTTCCACACAATACCAAAGTTAGAATCTAGCTCAAACATTAAAACAGTTCTATAAAACGGAACTAAACTACCACAACCATTACCAAAATGTACAGGTATTTATAAATAGCTGTCTATACAAGATACTCCAGACCCACCAGTTAGAAAAAATGGCAATGACCTACTCTGGCAAACAACTACCAGCTGAGCAAACTAGGAAAAGACTCTAGGAACGGATAGGGCGCACTTTGCGGGAACCATTGATTAAACTGTATTAATAATTAAGCCATAAAGTAAAATAGTCAAGTCAAGGGTAAAACAACCAGACCAAAGGACAGGTGGTGTCGGGAACGAGAAACAGGCATTAAGATGATGGACAACACTTGCCAACGACTGGAAAGAAAAGCCCAATGCACACTTAAATTCAAACCTCTGGACAGTGATTGATGCCAATATTGTTTCAGGGCTGGTTTTTGTCAAGGCTAGTTATAGAGAGTGAAGTAATTGAGTACGCTAACCTTGGTGAGTTGGTATCTGACGAAATCTCGGTACAAATCCAGAAAGCCCAATTGGCGTTTGCTAACTTGCGCTAGTTGTTACGTAGACAGATTGTCTGCCTCCTAACCAAAGAGCATGTAGGCTGGACAACTGTCCGTCCTGTTTATTTTAATTATTTATTTGGACACAAATATTGGTACAAAGGGGCATCGAATACATATGCGCAACACCAGTCACTTGATTTGTGTGTAGGCTGTTATATTGCCCAGGTGCCCAGACTGAAGCAGGTAGTTCTCTTAGGGGGCCACACCCGGAACCTTCGACTTAAAGGTCTGATTTACAAGGCAGTGGAGAAACGTCAGATGCAGTCCTACAGTAGGCGGTGACCAACAATAGGTTCATACGCCAGATAAAAGCTACCTGGTTTGGGTAAGAGAGATAGCCGAAATCAGTGACTAGAGATGTTGGATTATATGGCTCAAAATCTTTCACAATGGTGCAGATGCATTTCTTCCTCATTTTCCTGTCGATCTTGAATCCCAGCATCCCTTCATACATACCTTCCCACTCTGTCATTCAATTCAATATTTCAAAAGTTCAGTCTTTCTCATCATTATTATTACTGCACTATATTGATTTATTTTGCCATTTATCTCGATATGTTTATCTTGTGCTAATGAGGTAAAGCAACTTGAACCAACACATATCTGTGAAGGGCTATATGTTGATGTCTGTCTGTCAGTGCCAAGAGGGATAACAGGCTTAAGTATACCCCTAGTTATAATAGTCGATGGAAGTAAAAAATTTTTAACTTACTGAAGAGTCTTTTGGAAGGTTGGAAATAGCTTCTAAAATACTGGTTCGGACATATTCACCAAAACAATGTAACAGTTCGTTACAAAGATTATTCGGAGATAGCAACCGAAAAAGATTTCTTAAATCTATAAATGTATTCGAAGAAGTAAATCGATCGAAAGGAAATAAATATGTATATAGGGCAATTTAAGACTAATTAAATATTACTTTAGCTTTCGAAGTTTATATAAATAATGAATGCAGAGTTTTCACCCTAATATAATTATGAGAAAAACCCAAAGTAAAAATCTCGGTGAAACAATACTGACCTCTTACAAAATTCTGACGAAGGAACGTTATAATACGTAAACAAATAGTCGGCTTTGAAAGTAGTTTGTTAGAAATATGTGGAAAAAAAACAGTCGATTAAAGCATCAAGATGGTAGTGAAAATAAACTCTCCTGCTGCTCAATTGGTTTCATTGTACAACACTGCGTTTGTTATACCATTCAAAGGTAGATCAATACCCTCCCAATGTCATCGCCAACCGGATCTCTGAATTTACATGTGCCTGAGGTAGCAAGTATGTAAGAAGAACAGAGATAGGGGCTTCTACTATGTTTTCTGAACATGTCCCTACTAACTTATGCCTGAAGGACAGTCAGTCTTCATAATTGCAATTGCCAAGCAACTATTAGATAACAGAAGTGGATAGAAGAAATGGATTTGAAATAATTAACAGAAGCAACATCAATCTTCACTTTGTAGAAGCAATCGCTATTGGATGTTTCCGACCTGACCTATGTGTACAGAAGGAAAATGTGATTAGCCTTTCTCTGGGATGATGACTAAATGTTTATCAAATAACTTTGATTAATTTTTAAACCCTCTTTTCTTCTTCGAGTTTATACCCCATATGATTTTACTGATGTTTATATATTAGTTTGATTTTGTTTCTTACCATTTTGAATGATCACGCAATTAATTATCGACCTTATTACCCTTACATAACTCCTTGGTTATGATTACTGGTAACTACAACACCTAATGTGCATTACTACTTTCCATTATAGAAATACGAATCAATTAGTTTGCAGTAACGTTATCCTTCACAAACCACATATAACGAAAAACTTCGTACAAGAATATAAATTAATGGAGAATGATACATTTTAAAAGAACCATATAGAATAAAAAGAAACCATCACGTGAGATGTTACTTAAGATGGAGATATATGTGAAAACTTGTCAAGGAGACAGTTTAGTGGCCCGTGGATCTGACTCCTATTTAGATCGTATACAAGTTTGCGATCGCCTATCCTCGTATATAATCGTCGACTTAAATCACGTTATCCAATAACGGAATTAAATAAGTCAAATAACGAGAATGGGATTTTGAATACATATATTGTGTATATGAGGTGAATGAAATAGAAGGAAGAGAAGCGACGTAGAGCGGAGATGGCTGGTAAACCAACTCATTTTTAGTCAGACGTTAATCAATATTTATAGACAGACAAAAATAAGCTACAGACATGCAATGAGTCATGGGATACGATGTGCACACACATATACGCTCATATAAAAACAATCAAGACTGATAAGCGAATAATTGACAAGGTCAAAATATGACTCAAGTAGAATGAATAGATCGGTTTGTCCGAAAACTAGAATAACGATATATTATGGGCTTAAAATAATGACTAATACTACAACAGTACACAAAAAATCGGATAAGTTGCATGTTAGTGTTTTAAGAACATTTATTAAAAAACTAATTAAAGTATCTTGTTTTACACAACCAAGTAGTATATCTAATTCTAGTACATATGGTGGACCTCATGCCCTGGGATATAAAACTGTACGTTTTGTGGATTGAAACAGTTATTAACTAACACAAATTTTCATGTAATACGTCAAACCGACGCCAGTGTGCGAGTACAACAACAACCAAGTTAGGCTAAGCGAACCTTGGAAGACATAAAGTCCATAAGACTCGTAATAAGAGCAAAAAGAATGCGGTATTTACTTTTCATCATAACTAAATACATACATAATTTATATACCAGATACAAACTAATGCCACAAAAAGTAAACACAACATAAATCAACTTATTTGCTTGGTTTTATTGGTGAGATAATTGGGTATAACTATTGCACTTACTTGATTTATCCTCTTCAGCAATAACATAGCGAACGTTCATATTAAGGAAATTTAAACGCTGTTCAACAATTATTTCTTGAAACAAATTTTGCATTGGTAGCAGTGAACATTTATAATATTGTATAGCTCGATTATGTTCTTCTGTCCGCAAAGCTAGTGCCTACAAAAATGTTTACAAAATATAAAGCTTACATATCTTGCTTATTAATGGTATTTTATCAAATATTATGATTCTAATGAGGAACAAATAACTGAATTCTCGAACAATTTTATACACAAAACAATAGAATCCGAGACATTAATTTTTTTGTCAAAACCAAACGAAACACTCAACCGCAATGTAGACGCGAGATGGTATAATTTTCATTATGTAAAAGAATAGATTACTGAGCCTCATATTGTCCGGCTAAAGCATGTAGCATAATAATTAAGATGTGGAATTTTCTCGAGGGATAATAAACTAGCTGAAGATGAATATGTCCTGTTGGGCTTATCATGTTATAGAATTTATGACCGACTATGTCACCATAAATACACATATACGTGCGTCCCCAAAACTTTAGGCTTACAGGTTAAAGTATGACTTCCAACCAGTTCTGTAGATTGAACTTTCGTTTATGCTATTCGAATTGGGCACCTATGTAGTATTTATGCTACACTAGAGATGATTCGTTACTGATTAGTTTAACGAAGAACAAACCCTTTGAAGTAAATATACACTTCAGTTTATTTATCTGAACACAAATATTGATACAAAGAGGCATCGAATACATATGCGCAACACGTCACTTGATTTGTGTGTGGGCTGTGATACTGCCCGGGTGCCCAAATTGAAGCAGGTGGTTTTCTTAGGGGGCCACATCCGGAGACTTCGAGCTAAAGATTAGATCCACAAGGCAGTGGAGCAACGTCAGGAGATGCAGTCCTACGGCAGCCGGTGACTAATAATGTTTGAGCTAAAGGTTTATCCGGTGATTAGTTATGATTTTAGTAATCAAAAGGTATGGAAACAAAATACGAAAACCATATGGCCTTAATTATTGTACGTCGTTATGTCGTGGCCGTCAGACAAATCAAGAACGGGAAAGCAGCAGGACCCGACAACATACCAGCTGAAGCACTGAAGTCAGACATCGAAGCAACCACAAGCATGCTTCACCTTCTATTCAAAAAGATTTGGGAGGAACAAGTACCGATGGACTGGAAAGAAGGGCACCTCGTCAAGATTCCAAAGAAAGGAGATCTAAGCAAATGTGAAAACTATAGAGGCATTACACTGCTGTCAATACCAGGGAAGGTCTTCAACAGAATGTTGCTGAACCGGATGAAAGACGCAGTAGACGCCCAACTTCGAGATCAACAAGCTAGATTCCGTAAGGATCGATCATGCACAGAGCAAATTGCAACACTAAGGATCATCGTCGAACAATCAGTTGAGTGGAACTCGTCGCTATACATCAACTTCATTGATTATGAAAAGGCATTTAACAGTGTGGATAGGAGAACGTTATGGAAACTTCTACGACACTACGGAGTTCCTGAGAAGATTGTCAATATTATCCGGAGCTCATACGACAGACTACAATGCAAAGTCGTGCATGGAGGACAGCTGGCAGATGCATTCCAAGTAAGGACCGGAGTAAGACAAGGCTGTTTACTCTCTCCCTTCCTCTTTCTTCTGGTGGTCGACTGGATTATGAGGACTTCGACATCTGAAGAAAAAGACGGAATACAATGGACAGCTCCAAATCAATTAGACGATTTGGACTTCGCAGATGACCTAGCCCTCCTATCGCATACACACGAACAAATGCAGATAAAGACAGCCAGTGTAGCAGCAGTCTCTGCATCAGTAGGCCTCAGCATACACAAAGGGAAAACCAAGGTCCTCAAATTCAAGGCGGAGAACAGCAATCCAATCACTCTTGATGGCGAAACTCTGGAAGATGTAGAATCCTTCACATATTTAGGAAGCATCATCGATGAACAAGGAGGCTCAGATGCAGACGTAAAGGCAAGGATTGGCAAAGCAAGGGTCGCATTCCTACAATTGAAGAACATATGGAACTCAAAACAACTTTCAACCAATATCAAAGTGAGAATCTTCAATACCAACGTCAAGGCAGTTCTACTGTATGGAGCTGAAACTTGGAGAACTACAACAATCACTATCAAGAAAGTACAAGTATTTATAAATGGCTGTCTACGCCAGATACTCAACATCCATTGGCCGGATACCATCAGCAATAGCCTTCTGTGGGAGAGAATAAACCAACTTCCAGCTGAAGAAGAAATTAGGAAAAGACGATGGAAATGGATAGGACATACATTACGCAAACCATCAAACTGCATCACGAGGCAAGCCCTAACTTGGAATCCTGAAGGGAAGCGAAAAAGTGGAAGGCCAAAGAACACATTGCGTCGGATAATAGAAGCAGACATGAAAATGATGAATTACAACTGGACGGAGCTAGAAAGGATTGCCCAGGACAGGATTGGATGGAGAATGCTGGGGAGCGGCCTATGCTCCTTCACGAGGAGTAACAGGCGTAAGTTATGTCGTGTTATTATATGTGCGGAGAGAATATATACGTCAATATAAAACTGTAAGGCCAGTAAACAAACAATTATTGACTTTGACAGCAACACGATAAATATTTTAAATTGTGACATACCTCAGTCACATATTGAGCACATCCTAATTCCGACTCCCGTTGACATGCCCATTGCGAGTAAAATGACCGCGTAGCGTCAATCAGAGGGTTCTGAAATATTTGGTTGTATATTTCCATTCCAGCCTTTTAAGTAATGGGAGAACAGAAGTATTAGCGCCACTAGTGCATTGGACCAAGATAATGGAGTAGTCTAATAAAAATGGTAGTAAACATGGATTAATACGAATAGTAACAGAACAGACACAAAAGTAATCGATATGTGTGGTGCTAAGGTTTGTGTCAACACGAGGTTATTTATTATGGAGAGAGTATTCACTGATCAAAACACTTAGCATTTCCTAGTTAACACATGCGAAAGAAAAAGGAGTGGCTACGAAAAATTTAAACGTGTTCTTTAACATACAAAGTTAAGATAAAAAAAACAGGGTCACAATGCAAATCTTTTCTGTCGTATTTTGCTTACTCTTTCAAAATCCCTTACTTCTCCAACTCTTAAAAGGGAAGCCAAACATGGATGTATGCAATTCTGTTGTCCACAAATTCCCAATCTGTCGCTATTTGAAGTTTAGAAATAAAAAGATGGAACTCACTTGAGAACTTCGCGCATCAAGCAAGAGGACATTCGACTTTTTATACAATCGATAAGATATAGTCTCCAGAATGCAAGGCCGACCTCCAGAATTTCCATAGTATGCTGATCTGCCATAGGAAGTGCCGCCCCATAGCACATATCGGCTTCTGATGGCCTTAAATTCTTTACGTGCTGCGTATTCATATATCTGGGTAAACATTAAACATTGGGGACTTTAAAAATTTACCTATAAAGGATATCTAGATATGTAAGTCCGCGATGATATGACTCCCAAAACTTGACATATCTAGGAAGTAAATCCGAGTCACTCATGACCTCCAACTCTGATGCTATTTCTTCTACCCTCTCGCTAATGAGTGTTGTAGTAGATTTATACAAGGTAGATGCATGAGAAACCGGACTTGAAGTACATAAGCTATACACATAGCCGAAACTAGAATTCCACAAATCCCTGTCAACAAAATCGCACCGAAGAAGCTTATATACTACATCTTTTAGTGATCCCCACGTGGCAGGGAAGTCCACAGACACTGCACGTAACATATCTGAAAGACTTGGAGAATAACACTAGGTAGCCCTAGACTTAATAGTAGAACGGAAAATCGCCGTAAACATCACGGACAAACTTTCCGCGTTCAAGCACAGTCAGATTCAGATTCAGATTTGTGTAGTAAGAACAGAAGGCCTACGGTCTATGTTATTCCTTTTCTAGTATGCTTCTGTGAGTGTCCAGTCTTCTCTTGACGGAGTCAATTGAAGATGCGGACACCACTGCTTCAGGTAGCAGGTTTCAAGTATTGATGATGTGGTGTAAAAACCTGTATGCCACGGGTATTTTGTTCGTTCTTGGCTTTTCTACTCGCCTGCTATGTCCTCTGAGGTGTCCCGATCTAGTGGGAAGAAAAAGAGAGAATAAGTTAGGTCCGAAATCATGTCTCAGTATTCTGTACATCAATATTAGATCTCCCCTTAGTCTGCGATAGGATAGAGTAAAGAGGTTCAGTTTTTCAAGCCGCCCTTTGTATGATAAACCCCGGAGTTCCGGAATTGCACGGGCAGCTGCCCTCTGTACCTTTTCTAGTATGTCCTAGTCACATCACGGCAATGGGACGTCGTCTTTAGATCATTACTCACTGTCACCCCTAGGTCCTTATGAGACCGGACTACGGGTAATGACACATCCCTTATGTTGTACTTATTAACCTTTGAATTCCCCAAGTGTATGCAGACACACTTTTCCGCGTTGATAGGCATCAGCCACTCTTTAGACCAGTTTAACATATTATTTAAGTCTGCCTGAAGAGTAAATGCGTCTTTGTCTCCAGTTATTACTCGCCAAATTTTTACACCGTCAGCGTATAGTAACATTGGAGACTGTACTATACTTGTAAGATCATTAACGTACATTATAAAAAGTAAAGGACTTAGGACGGAACCTTGGGGTACTCCACTAAGTACCGGTCTCCAGATGGAGCACTTGAAATTTATTCTAACTTTTTGTCTACGACCTACTAGGAAATCCTTAACCCATTTTAAAATGGGTCCAGCAATACCAAGGTTTTCCAACTTCAATAGCAGTCTATCAGTTGGCACCTTGTCAAAAGCCTTACTAAAATCTATGTAGACAACATCCATTGAGTTTCTGTTGTCTAGCGCATTAATCAAGAACTCCCTAGCTATAAGGAGGTTCGTTGTACAGGATAGTCCCTTTCTAAAACCATGTTGTGCCATGTTCAGCAAGTTATTGGTTTCCATAAATGCCATTATGGTCCGTTTGATTATTCTTTCCAGTATTTTAATTGCCACACTGGTGAGGCTTACGGGTCTGTAATTCGATGGAACTTGTCGTGGGCCTGTTTTATGTATGGGAGTGACGATTGCGTCCTTCCAGTCCATAGGTAACACACCTTGGTCAAGTGACATACTGAATATCACAGTCAGTGGGGCCGCGATATATTGGGCAATATGTCTCAAGATTTTGGGGTGTAGTTCATCTGGTCCTGTTGACTTCTCCATGTTTAGGGTGCTAAGAGCCATAAGCACATCGTTTTGGTCCAAGTCCACGGTGGGCAGCTGGTTTGTTGACTCTATATTTGGGTCTGGTTCTTTCTCTAGAGGAGGTTCCTGAGTGAAAACTGCCCCAAAATAGTCAGCCATAGCCTTTTTCTTGATCTTCCTCTATCATTTCAGATTCACTTCCTACTTTAATTAGGTTGGGAATCCAGTGATGTATCCTTGTTCTGTAGTTTATGTACGAGTATATTCTCTTGGGCTGCTTGAGTGCAGATTGTACCAGCTGCATTTCATATTTTCTTTGAGCTTCCCGAATTTTCGTTATACACTCGTTTCTTATCGATCTGTAGCGTTTCATCGTACCTGCTGTGCCAAGGCGGATGGCAACATCCCAGAATTTCTTCTTTTGTCTTAGTAAGCGTCGAATATCCCACCCTATCCAGGGATGTCTGTGCTTCTTTTTCTTTGGGACAGTCCAGGGTATGTATGGTTGAGTTACGCGATTGTATAACTGCCTGAATAGAGTCCATGCCTCTTGTACTGATGCCTTTGAGTCAATTTTCCAGTTCTCAGCCGATGCTGCGGAGTTAACTGCCTGCATATCTGCCTTCCATATGTTAGGACGGGCCGGTGCAACTGTTTGACAGGCAATCTCAGTCATGAATTTGAATAAGATGACTGCATGGTCACTTCTCCCAAGTGGTGGGAGAAAAGCCATTTGACCAACGTCATCACCGTGCGTGAAGACTAAATCTAAAATAGAAGACGAGTTTCTTAAGTCGTATCTTGTGCTATCTCTAATGTGTTGGAATAATGCTAGTCCAATCGATGTTTCTAACAGTTCGGAGTCGAAAGACGATATGGCTGACCCTACTTCTAAGTTTACCCAATTTATATATGGTGCATTAAAGTCGCCTACTACAAGGCTTTTACTGTTGTTACACCAGGACTTAAGTTTACTTAGGAGAAAATCATCTGCTACACTTTCTGGACTGCGATAAACTACAACTACTTCAATATCTTGCCTTCGGCATTTCAACTTACATCTCACCAGTTCACATGTCCCTGAAACATGTACTACTGTCTCAGCTAATCTTATGGTTAGGGTACTCTTCGTGTACAGAATAACCCCGCCTCCCCTACGGTTTAATCTATCAGCCCTACTGGTTATGAAACCAGTCAACTGGATTTCACGATCTAATACTTCTGACGTTAACCAAGTTCCCGAGACATCAATAACGTCACGTTTTTCTTTATCCACCACTGACTTGAGCCCCGCCATTTTATTTAGTAGGCTGCGAGCATTTGTGTAGCTTTCCCTTGTCACCCAGAGTGGCTTGGAGATCGTTTTGCTCCGAACTTTTACAACTTGAAAACCCTTAAGAACAAGGTTTCGTTCCACGTTTTGGCGACGTTCATTTATTTCCGCTTCTGCAGCTCGTCTCTTAATACGATCAGCTAGGCGGAGATCCTGTAGTGGCATTGGACCATAACCACACTATCCTCAAAGCTGAATACGAGATTACTCGGAAAATAGGTATTCAATATTTAACGCGAAGAAATACCTAACGATGGAGAAGGCGCGAATAATGAACTGAATAGACTAGAGTTGATCGAACGGCATGGCTCGGCCATGCAGGCGTGGTCTCTGCTGAATGTTACCTTATATCTTCTTTTCATATTAAAAATATTGTTCTTTCTCTAGCCTAACCCTGTTCTACATCATGTATTGGTAATTGATACGATACAGTGAGTTGGTGTAGTCGATGGTGTGACTTCCACGTAAGATCTTATAGATTAGGCAGTTATATCATGACAAATCTACAAATTTAGGATTAGGTCTATTATTAGAGCAGTACTAATATCATAGTAGACCATAAGTTCTACAATCCTCAGATACATATATTCCGGATCCTATCAGTTCACGTGAATTACTTAGAATCAGGTTTCTTTCTTCCACCGTGTTGAACGTAACATTCAGGAAGCGGTTTTTCGGAGCACTTTCGGAATACAACTTTTTTTCTATTCTATAGAGCTTACAAATACTGACTCCTGAAACTGTATCTGGGAGTAGTTTACTTAATGATGTCTTAATATAATAATAATATATTTCTGCATGTGTAGGTACACACCGTTTTTACAGGCATGATCTATAAATTACAACATTTGTTGGTTCACAAAATGTTTCCCAACTTATTAAGTTTATAGTTGTTATAAAGTGAAATCGTAGAGCGCTTGCTGTAAACTATGACCTAGAGAGGACGCGTACATCAAGTTTGTTCCAAACATCAGAAGTTTCATAGCTGTGCTCTCAGAGCAAGATTCTGAAGAAGAGAAAAAAAGAGAAACAGAAGAGCAGCAAGGCACTAGGATATGAACGCCAAACGTTGCTTAACATTGTGTAGTAGAACAGACAGTGGTATAATAAATTAGAATAAATTCATATTATCTCTAGTTGGAGTGAAATGAAGTCAGAGGCTCCATATTAGAGAATGTACTAATAAAGAACAATGAGTTGTGATGTTTAACAAGATAGAGTAAGCTCACATGAAGGAAAGGAAGTCAAGGCTGGTACAAAGAAAGCGGTTTATTAGAAGGGTGCGTATATAGAGGATGAAGTGTTAAGTATACTAATGACTATATCTTTTGTTGCCTAACTTTTTTTCTTTTTTCGTTTATCTGATGCCAGCCACACAATCCTAGTGTAAAAGTCTAAGTTAGCATGTTATAGGTTGTCTTAGTAGAATAGCTAATCCAGCATAATATTGGAAACGTGAGTCTGAGTGGTGAGTGTAGGAAAACAATCTATATCACAGATTGATTGACCTATTCTCAATCATAAAGAGCCTGATACATACAAAATGTTCTGAACCCACAAACACGGGTGAATTGAAGTTTTTTCCCTCACCATCAATGCTTGCTGGTCAGTAACTCCACCCTCCCTCCTTTTGTGGTGTTAGGCTCATTTAGGCTTATTTTGGTATATACTTGATACCTCACACAATCCTGTTGGAAAGCATGATTTCTATAAGTACTGTTTTACAAGCTTATCAGACTGTTACAAGCTATGGACTGTGGGTAAAGCATCGATGCAGTGCCTCTGTTGACTATAGTATAAAGTGTAGTTTGCCAGTCAGAGTATAAGCGTTAAGAAGGGTATAATGTAGGATGGTTGTTTATTTAAGCAGGCGGAAGAAGTATATGAGTTATGGATAAGGGAACGAGTGGAGAAATAATATTAATTGCTAGTCAACATAGTGTACTGAAGAGTAAAAAGTTAATACAGGATAAACAGGAATGAACTCACAGTAACTTGGTGCTGATGTTATTTTCTGTTGTCCTAACCAGTTGATTGGTAACAGGCTCCATAGATGCAAGACCACTGGTAGTAGGCAGTCGATTGTGCGGTCCTCTTGAATTTTTGGGGTGGTAGTGAGTGTCCCTTATCGACCGAGTTTAGTTTAAAAGTAATGATAGGTCCAGTGAGTTGCCTGTCTACTTCAAGTGAAGAAATAGGGTGGAAAAAGTAA